CAGGTACAAATACAGGTACAAATACAACTGATTGCCCGACAAGGCATAAATACGCTTCACGAAGCCGAAAAGGTAGTCATCGGGCAGCAAGCCATGATGGTTAAACCTATGAAGAAGCTAGCCACTCGCGCCAGCGAAACGTCAGGAAGAAATTCCAAAAATCCACGGCTTTCAAACTCGAAAAGAAATGACACTGAATTCGTTTCCAGAATCAAATGTTCCCAATGTTACTAATACTAAGTGAATGAATATAAATGAGATCTTTCAAGAGTTAGAAAAGCAGCTTGAGGCAATGCGATTAACAAAAGGAATAACCATAAGATAATATAAATTGAATATTACTGAATCAATATCATCAGCGGCTTCTGCTTTGGCTTCAATATTACTGATAATTTGGGAAACTTGATTCCCACAAGTGGTGCAAAAGTTCAAACAAATGCCATTTTTACATTCTAATTTAATGAATCATCTGTTCATTTGCTTCTTGACGAAGAAATCATACGCCATTTATATTTCTGAGAGATTCTGGAATATTTTTTTTTCAGATCGTTCTAAATATATTTGAATACTCTTTCTGGATGAAAGTTTTCAATTTGTATTCAATTTGAATGTTTTTTTCTGCTTTGATAACTTGATTAGTAAGCTCTCTGGGTTGTTTGTGGTACTCCCACTGATATGACAATTATGAATATTTGAATAATATTGGAGCATTGTTTCTCAAGTTATGCAAGTTCATATTGACAGTTATCGATAACGAATATTTCGTACCGTACCTGTGAATACGTAGCGTTACATGAGAATGAATAACAAGAGCATGGTCATGAACTGTTCAGGCAACATTGTTTTCCATAAATGTTTGGAGTATTATGAAATACCAAGACATGTCATTCAGGTTATTTCCAATCAATTATAAAGGGATATCTGTTCTGAGCCACCTCAAACGATGAAAAACTTGAAAATGAAAAATTGTTTCACTCACCTGTCGATTTCACTCCTTTGAAAAGGGAAATGTAAAGGAGGAAATAAATCACAAGTAAACATACGACTAGTTGCCATTTTGGGTAACCCATGTCATGCAGTCCATCGCTCCACTGCATCTCAAGTACCGCTCGGCTGAAAATGTTATTGAGGTGAAATAATTTTTACTGTTGGAGTAATACGAAAAATGTCAATTTTTTTCATAACAAAATGAACAAAAATAATCAAGTGTTGAAGCCACTTTCCGAATTCAAAATACAAAATTTTCCTTTTCCGAAAATATAGCGGTACGGAGAAACAATGATGAAAAGGTAATTTTCATAAGTAAACGCTTTCCTTCCATCCCCACGGAAGACCCTAGTTGGAATATTCAAAAATCCTTCCTTAATGCGCATCTAAGACTTAAGAATCATCTATATACCAAATTTCAGCTTTCTAGGACTCACCAAAACGGAAAAACAGAGATGAGAGAGTAACTTTCGCATTCGTAAGTATAGATATGAAACAATATTGAAAGTCCCTTTTTTATATCATTTGAAATGAAGACGAATACGAATATGGAACTGAAAGGAATTTATCAGTAAACTCCGAAACAATTGTTGCATCACAAATGAGGTTGGTTTAAATTTCTCCTTATTTACTTATGTAGCAAACAAACAGCTTCCAACTTCAAAGCAGAAACTTTGTATGTTATTTTAGGTCTTTGAACAAATAGAGAAATATGTCAATTGTAAGAATAGTGCCAAGTCCATCAAGGATAGGCCACAATCTCACGAAAACGCAGCATCCGAAGTAAAATCAAACGGGCTTAATGAGTATGAGACGTGTAAATGAAGAGATATATAACTGACATATACAGCTTCTTAAATAAAAATCAATCATTGTTTGAGTAAATCACAAAAGAACACATTGAATTTCAACCTCTACAACTATCTTCACGATATTTTCAAAATTCTCAGTATGTCCAAATTCAAAAAAACAATAGAAAAACTTTTGACTTTTTGTTTTTATTCTGTCGAAGAATACGTGAATCATTTTAAATGTTTATAATGTCAACATATTGTTATATTTTTGTATTTGTGTTTCTCGTTTGTTTTCATAATATTTTGTTTGTTAACAAATTACTTTCATGCTATTTTTTGACTTGCTACAAACATTTTATCATGTAACGTGATGAAATAAATTATCTTATCTCAACACCGAAATAAACATCTAAACACCGAATAGCTAATATTCGCCATGTGAAACCCATACACACTAGTCGCTATTTGCCGAACAGCGAATAATTGATATTCGGCATTTGCCGAATACCGTATGTCTGCTAAGTTGTGGTCTACGAAAGTCCGAATTCTTGTGAGCGATGCAAAAACGACTGCCTCGGATTCTCCTACACACTCTCACAGACGGCAGATCTTGCGTTTCATCGACGTACGGGTCAATCGTTCACTGAACCAGTGGACTCAATGCCCTTATTTCTTCAAAAGCAGACCCTTTACGTAAAAACAGGAAAATTCTTTATGAACAAGTTTATGTGACAATACGTAGGTATATGTATTCTGCCACACATACCGAGTCAGATCGCAAGTTGTAGATGATATCGTTATGAAAACTTATTCTGACAAAAAAAAACATAATATTCATCACACGTATCTCAATTATCACATCATAACGTTTTCCATGTGAAATATGAACTCATTGTTTAAAACCCACTGAATTGAATATCGGCGATTGATTAAAATTTCCCAGGTGTGATCGCAGATGATATCAAAAAATTCAAAATATAACATGCATGCACCAATATCTGTTGATTGCTAAAATAGATGTAACGGATCCTTTATGCAGAATTTTTCAATCGAAATGCATCAGTTAAATGAATTTGGTCCACATTGGAATTAGCAACCGATTTCGATATAATACAGACTATTTAGTTAAGTTTTTCATCAAATTCGCATGAGATATGAACTCTGTTTTATTGTGTTTGACTACTAGCAAAAAACCAATTCGTAATAATCAGAAAAAGGTTAAACTTTCAGATTTCCACCTGGGAAGAGCTACTCAGGTTTTCACTAGATCGTTTTTCAAACCTCAAGCAATCGCAACACATCTTTCGCTATATAATAGCTTTCTCAAGCATTTTCATACTGACCAAACTCTACTCGATTTGTGCTTTATATAATAACAATTTGAAACATATGACCCTCTACCTAATCAAGGACTCACAACTCCCAACATTAGTTTAGGTGAAATCTAATTAAAATTTCAATATAAAAAAAAATTCAATACACTTATTGAATGAACAATAGTGAAATAATTATCAATTTACACATTTGAAAACAGATTCAAAAGAGGTGATTAATTCAGTTTCATATGATTATTCAGTGTATTCTGAGAATTCTTCTAATATCTATTGATTTCTAAGAATTCCAAAAGATTGAGTTTGAATCCTTTCTCTTCCAAATGTAATACCTCATAATCATGATTTAACTCATTTCCCTCTGTCAGAAGATGGTTTGCAAATGTGGAATTGGTGTTCACATTCAAGAAACTACACATATGTTCTTTTACTCCTCGAGAAAAGATTCTTCCCGTTTATCCAATATAGAGTTTTGTCACCTTATATAATCCTGATTTATTCGAAACCCAGGATATCCTAACAAACGACCTGCTGGCTATCGGGCAAAACTTCCGCAAGTGAAGACTAAAACCAATTGCTGCTAAGACAGAGATCTCTAATTTCCACCTGAACAACAAATTAGCCAATAGAGAACTGCCAATCTAATCTGAAGGTATGCTACACAATAAACAACCTAAATATTCAGAGGTTACACTAGACAGAACGTTGAGTTTCGAAGAACATTTGTGGAAAACAGCAGCTAAGATCAAAACGCGTAATAACATCCTTCAGAAATTATGCGGCATCACTTGGGGAGCATTAGCCTCCACACTGAGATCTTCAGCCCTGGGCTTGGTTTATTCAGAAGCTGAATACTGATCCCTGGTGGGGCTTAATAACGCTCACGCTGACCTGGTTGATGTCCAGCTCACCCCCGCATGCCCCCTCCCGGGTTGAAAGCCCTGAAGTAGGAGATCCCCCCCCCCAGCTATTTAGCGAAAAGAACCTACTACCCCACTCCATCCACCCCCGCTCTCCGAGCGGTCCTCAACTCACTGATGGGCACTCCAGCAAGATTGACATCTGACCTCTTTTGATCGAAAGTCAGCCTTCAGGTGCTATTCTTTCGCGATCGGTAAAAAGTGTCCAGCTCAATCACACAATGCGGCCTATTACAGGTACGATCAAACCAACACCTACTTTCTGGCTCCCCACGCTTAGCCACACAGCCCCTCCCCACCCCCGCAGAGAGCAGGATGTCGTCAGGGAATTCAAGGAGGTCATTGATAATCCTCAATCACCGATCCACTTAGATATCCTCGCCCTCGAAAGAAACCGACCCCGCTTCAGGCATCCCTCTCTCAGAACTGGAAAGTCTGAGAGACATGATGCCGGTTTCGACATAACTGCACGCTGTCGAGAAGGATGGGTGGTCAGTGCTCCAATAGCCTACCACAACATGCCTTGTATATCCAGCCAACCACATTGATTCGACCTACCCCGCAAAACATGGTCAACCACAAATCAGAACCAAATGCGGGAGATGCGCTGACTCACTTTTTAAATGGGGTAAAAACCTCTTCCCCAGGTGCGACTGTGGAGATGATATGCAAATAATCAGCCACATCGTTGAAGACTGTCCACTGAGGGCCTACACCGGTGACCTCTCCGACTTCCAGACAGCGACTAAGGATGCAATTGAATATATACGTGACTTAGATGTTTGTTTGTAAACCTAATTTCCTGTTTTTTTATGGTTTTATACAATTATGTTTTTTATATTAACTTTCATGATGTGAATAAGCCATATGCTGAATCATTATTTATCTGGAAAGAAAGCTTTTGTATTGATATGCTGTAATGTCGAATATATCCGTTGATATAACACAATATTTATCGAACTTTGATGAAAACAAAAATTTTTATATGTATGCAATGCAATTATTTCCAGGCAAGCTGATACTAAAACCGCAGATTAAGAATAAGCTGATATCTTCAGATCCTGTGATTGAAACTTCCATGTTCCCTTTCAAGACATTCCTCAATGATTTTCAATGAAGTTCATGTTATAGAGACCAATCTAGGGAAATTTCGTTCATCATTGTACTTACTTTCCTCCTACCCACACACAACACTTTCGAAAGCATCAAAAAGTCTGGTGTCTGAATATCGTTTAGGAAAGTTTTATTATTTTATTTATTATTCCTGGCATATATGGGATCTCACTCTCCTGGAATCGAAAACACTTTTTTTTAAATGATCAAATGAGAATAAGTTACAAATGAAAAGTTACTGCGTTCGAATAAAAATTCAAATGATGGTTTATTGAACTTGTCAGTAACAGTAAGAAACGGAAAAGAAGGATATATGGAATCCAAGTGACAATATACTGTTTTCCATTTCTCGGATCCTTTCAAAATTGAACAAAACTGTACGTGTTACATTCGTATGTACAAATTTTGAAATCGAATGAAAATTTTGGCATACACAGTATACCTGATATCGAATTCACTTAAGCACCCTCCTTTCTCAGAAATGTATACGCATGATCAAAATTGATTGAGCATAATGTCATATTCTAAGCGCAGTGAATTTTCAAAAAGTTTATTGGTTCCAAGAACGTGAAAACCAATAAACGCCAAGAATAATGCGGAATCAGGAATAGCAGAGCATGTTTGGGCTCATCAACATAATATCAAGTGGGCTCAAGCTGAAATTATCCACAAAGAGGAACACTGGTCCAGGAGAAAATTCAAAGAAGCCGCGTATATGTTGTCCAACAACGCATTTAGTCAAGCTGGCGTAGAGATACGTAACATATGAAAACCTTCAATCAAACGAAAAACGACCAACTCCCACCAAACCGTCATCTCCCTCTAAAAACCAATGAAGCGGAGAGAGAGAGAAGAGGGGATAGGTGAAAGCACTCGAATGGTCTATAAATAGTCGGATCTCAGAGGAATAAGTGCAGTTATCACCCGAAGACGATTGTGGATACTAACAATCGAAACGTCGTGACATAACATGGTTTGAAATCTTTTAATTTTTATTTTTCATTTTTTGTTAATAATAATTTTTAGTTTTCAGCTTTTATTATAATATTTCAATTTTTATTTTTCGGTTGTTGTTTGGTTTTATGTTATTTCTTGATAATTTCAGTTTTTTTGTTCAAATAGACAAGGGAAGTCCGAACTGATGAAAAGAATAATGCCGATGGCCACTTTCATATGTCGGTCCCGAAAATTCTAAGCAGCTTCACTTTATTCTATACCCCTTCTTCCAGGCGTGTCAAGTGACACTAGACTTTTCTTTTACTTTGAACGAGTCCTAATAGTACATAACTCGTTTTATCACGCAATTTTATTTTGTCGCAGTTCATGAATTTTAGATTTTTCAGTTTCTATCATATCCATTCTCTTTTAGATTTCCCAACACTTGTTGCAATTATTAGCAACCTCAAAAGTTATTTTTTTCTACAACGTTTCTGCTGTAACAATATTGAGTGTTCATGTACTTGTCTACAATGTATGAGTGTATTTCAATTTCTTGAAAGATAACAACTCACTTCAATCGATTATTTTTCTGAAAAGTCCAAGATTAATGACATTCTTCAAATTTCTAATTGTGAACAATCACCAATAAACATTAACACATATTGTTCCCTTCTCGTTTTCAGTTATCAAATAACCCCGCACGTAAATCATTGTGAACAACAAGATTTTAGATCCTGACAATCAACCTCCAATCAACTTTTGGCTTCGAGAAATTTAATCCAGAGGAGAATTAATTCTCTGGAAGTTGAAGCCTTCAGAAATTAAATGATCAAAAATTCCAAGGAGGGTATGATATGATATTGTGTTTTACAAAAAAAAATTCTCAAAACAATTGACAATCAAATCAATCAATCAAGTATTTCACTCACTTAAAAAATTCAGATGCAGGCGTATGTTTACTGTTTCTTGCAGTTTCATTCAATAATTTCATTACTTTCTGCGAACCATTGGAGTTCATACTGTCCCAACACTTTTCTGTGTTCCACGTATTATTACAGTGGATCCAGGGTAGATCCGATGTTATACTGGATCCGATGAAATATAAAGCCCAAGCTGAAATATGTCAATTACTTTTGAATTTTTCATCTTCGAATCGAATCACTTGCACTTACCTAAAATAACGTTATAGTAGAAGGATACATAAAATGAAACAAGAACGGCACAAAATCCCACACCTGAAAATGAGAAACGTTATATAGGGTGTCGCGAATGTATGGAACAGTGAAATAACTCTTGAGGAATGCTTTTCACAAAAAAGTTCAAGGAATTTACTGATGATCAAATTCGACTTTGACCATCACCTTGACCATCAAAGTCGAAGCAATTTTTCCAAAGAAACCCATATTTTTCATCGCCGATTTGAAAAGAAAAATTTCACGTCCAATTTTTTTTTTACCGCCTCCACAATTATGACCTTGATTTCGATCCTGGGGGCCATTACGAAGTAACTTTTCATTCTGGATTCAAGTTTACTTCACCAAACTTCAAAATTCAGAGAAGTGAAGACAGAAAATGGTGAATTATTTCGTGGAAATACCACCTGATATGATATGCAGTACGACATATGTTTACTTATGTGCTAAAAAGTTTTGAACAACAGTTCAGTAACTAGACCTACACTAAAATGGCTTCCAGGTTCCAGGACAAGTCATAATCGTGAAGATAATCAGAACCATAACCTAAAATTTTTCTCTCGTCTCAAATCCATGATAAATATATGGGTTTCCGGTTGAAAAATGATCCTGATTTCGATTTCGATATGACCATCAATTTCAAATAATTAGACATATTATGAGTGAAACTGTCATTTACTGTAGCAGTTATTTCTTTGTTTGACTCAAGATTGGCGAAATAATATAACATTGAATACAAAACAACTACAAATGATAATTGAATTTACTACGTTTCAAGATCTGAAAACATTTTGCTGTTTTATTTATCTTAAGGGTAGTACATTTTATCAGAAGTGTATTAAAGGTATAGTTATCGATTGATTTTCGGTAGTATATGAAGTTCATCTAAGTCCGGCCGTACACGGACCACATATTTGCAGTTGAGGCAACCACAACATTGTGGTCACGTTGACTGCACTTCGCGACTGACCCAACCACATTTTTGTGGTCGACTTGCGGTCATATAAACCACACTTGCAGTTGAGGCAACTGACATCAAAAATTGAATGCTGGGAGACCAATATGAGAAAAAGTACACCATGGTGTACGCGTTTGGGTACGACTGCAAGTTTGTGGTTAGTGTACGGCGGATGCCGCGATGACATCATGGCGGAGATCAGCAGCAAGTTGACTGCAGACGTCCGTTTTGACTTTTGTGAACGGCCGTGTACGTGTAGTACAGTATTTCTTATGGGCGGCTTGATTTCGCTGGAACGCGACTGCAATTGTGTGGTCGATTCGACCGCAAAATGTGGCTCGTGTACGGGCGCTCTAAGTATATTTTCTAAGTCCTGAAAAACAGCTCGGGTTTTTAAAGTTTTGTTTTTCATATGATTAGAAACTTCTTGAAGCGAGAACAGAATTATCCATCGTTTGAAGGTGGATAACAGTGTTTCATAGTGAATATCATCAGTTCAAACTTTCATTGTCTAAAATGATTCTAATATGATTCAAAATATATAAAAGAATAAATAAAAAATGCATGGCTGAAATATCAATTATATCAAGCAATATAACGTAAAATCCATATTTTATTTGTTCTTCCATAGATTTCGAGTCATAGTAGAATCATATCAGACAATGAAAGTCCGAACTAATGAAATTCAGAATTATTCACATTGATTTAACAATATGCTTGTATAATATTTAGAAAATATTCTTTCACTTAACGCTAAACCAACCCTAACAATAAAAACTGTTGGGCTAAAAACTAAAAAACGAAATCATTCAAATAAAATTTGAGATTCGCGAAGATGTTCTTTGTGAAATTTTCTGAATTTGAGGTACGTATTCGACAGAGTCACAAAAACAATATTGTTAGATAATTTACAAACGAAATTAATTTCGATTTCTGTCGAGTACTTAACTTCTGATTGTCAATTTGGTGTACGAGTATCTCTAAAAATGCTATACAACTCAGTTTACCGACACATCTTCAGTTCAATCAGGTTGGGGAGCCTAGCTTCCTTACCCTTGCAGCTGATTTTTGTCAGAAGGACAAATGAGCAATTCAGTTTGTTACCTCTGTCAGAGGACTTGCAAGTTCAAAAATAGAAAAATAATGAATAGGGTTTTTATAAAGCTACCAAAATTCGATCAAAATGACACAAGTTGTAATCATTTCCATTTTTTTCCTTCAGAGAGATGCTTCCTTCAAATAAATAATCGATCGAAGGATAATCTATATGTCTATGATTTCTCTGAGACTCTTCAGTTATACCAATATTATGCCCATCAGAAACAAATATGACGTTGTGAATATATAATTATTTCAATCAAATTAATTGGAGTATGGAGAGTTTAGAAAAAAGAAGGCACGTATACATACATACTTATAAACTTCAAAACGTTTCTGATTCAAAATAATAAGAAGAAACAAACAAAAAATTGACTCTTCAACATATTCATTGGAGAGACTAATCATGTTCATGAAAAATTATTATTTTGTTAATACGTCTTATTTCTATTACTTCGTATGAAACTCAATATTCTCGAATGCGGAAATGTCTATATTGAAATATATTGTGAATCACTCACCTTTAAAAAGTGGACATATTCTCCACAAGCTTATTGGACCTTGTCTATAAAACTGACCTAGAATCAGTTCCATATAGAACAAAGGTACAGCACCAAACACCAACATCAGAGTGTAAGGAACTAAAAAGGCACCTGCGGAAAGAAACATAAATTGAAAATTATTTTCGTAAAGTCAGTTACGCTAACTGGGAAGTCAGTTCGTTTGAAGGATGAATCCAATAAAAATATCAGGCGCGGATGATTTGTTAGTGGTGGAATTGTGGTACGTGAAAACTTCGCTAACCAAGTTAGCGTCTTGAGTAGATGATTGAAAATAGATCTGACAACTAAACTAGAACTTTTCATTTTGCATACAGACAAACCATTATTTTTTTAGGATACTCTCCTAAACTATTGTTTATATGTGAGTCATATATTTTCGCTAGGCAACAATATGTCGAATTCCAACAACATCGCTCTTTTATCATTACATCAACTTCAGGGGTACCACAGGGTTCTAATCTTGGGCTCCTTTCATTCCTCTTGTTCATCAATGACCTCACCCTGGACTTTCAATGCTCCACCCTATTATATGCTGATGACTTGAAAATTTATCAAAATATCTTTGCAACTCAAGATTGCATTTCATTGCAACATGACATCAATAGAGTATATGTACGGTATACTACAAACCACTTTGAGTAGAATATCAATAAATGTTCAACTGCTACCTTCTCGAGAAAAGAAAATGCATTGATATTCCCATACAATATCAATAATACAATCTGTTTGAATCAAATGCGCGACCTTGACGTACTATTTGACCAAAAGATGTCATTCAATCCTCATATTCGAAGTGCTATGTCTTCAGTTAATAAAATGTTAGGATCCATATTAAGAAATGGTAAGAAATTTTCAAATTTATCAACTCTTACATTACTATCCAACTGTTATGTAAGCAGCGAATTAGGATATGGGGTATCAATATGGTATCACCTTATGCAACAACCCAAATATTTATATTTGAAAAAAATTAGTATTTACCTAGATCGCAACATTGATTATTCAATACTTCTCATTGAAAGCAATTTCATCCCACAGAATACTTAACGTGTCATTCTAATAATAACATTCCTTTATACTTCACTACATAATAACATAAGCTGTGAATTCCTGAAAGCAAAAATAGTTCTAAATAGTAGATATGCAAAAGAATTTTACTGTGATCTGTGACATATTAAAGAAATCACCTGTTTCACAATCATTTACAATAATTTCAATCCGATATGTGGTTCATGTGACATTAATAAATCTTCATTATCTTTCACGATGAATTGTATCAGGACGTTTACTTCTCGAAATTTGACAAAATTAATCATAATCCTCTCCTTCGAAACCTATGACCTTAGGTTTTGATTGGAAAAACGTAATAGTTCGTGCACTATAACGACTTCAACCCTAGTATTTATATAGCTACTAGTGACGTACCACAAGGTTCAAATTTGAGTCCATTATCACTTTTAATTTTTATCAATGATCTCTGTGAATCATGGAATCGCAATAGCTTGATGTTTGCAGACGATTCAACGCTTTATGAAACTGATAAATGTGTAAACGATGAATTGAATTACAAAATCAACTGAATCTATTACAAGATTGGTGTGATCAAAATTACTTTCCACTTAATGTCAACAAATGTAAGGCTATTACTGTTGGTAGAAATAATGCAACAATTAACTATCAATATTGCACTAATAATGATACTTTAGAACGATATGATAACATGCGCCATTTGGGTGTTTACTTTGATTATAAGTTAACCTGTATTCATTATACCAATCAGTGAATTTCCTTAGCATACCGCGCACATGGTTTCATTGTTAGAAACTACAAAAATTTTGATAATACTATTACATTCACTTCTAAAAGAGCTTATCTTCTTTTATACAATAGAGCTTACACCAACTTATCTTTTAGAATAAGAAACAGACGTGAATTATCTCCTTTTCATCCAACCCAGAGATATGAAGTCATTCGTTTCATGATCTATCCTACGTAAGTCTTCGCAATCTGTTTTTCAAAGAGAATAACCAAAAACCAAATCGGCATATTCGGCGTGAGACAACACGAAAGACTGACATAAAGTTGTTTTCAGTCGCTTGTCCAGACTACCTATATGCGAGTATGTCAATTTAAGGACATTATAGGCTCTTTTTAGAATCAAGGAGACGTGGGAGGAAGTCCCATTTGTCCTATTCGCTATGGGTACATTTGCATTACCAATAATTAATTTCAATTCAGATAGGCATTTCGTTCTACCTGCGGATCTTCCAAATAATAAAACTTTCGACTTGGATGGATTTTTTTTAGAACATAATAGATCAGATAGCTGGCAGGAGAGTTGAGATCATTGTTGAGTAAGCTGGTAGCATGATTTAATTTGTTTTCATCAAAAGAAATATATATTTGAGTATCATCAGCACAAGTGTGGACTGAACAGTGTTGAATTCTAGAAGGGAATTGGGATGTATACATAAGAGGAGCGGTCCTATGACTGATCCCTGGGGAACTTCCTATATAATTTCCTATATAAAGCAGTGACTGTGTTCTAGCAAGGCAGTTTTTAATGAGCTCACTGACATCTGACTAGAATCCAAGATGAATTTTTATCAATAAGTGATGATTTATAAGATCAGTATCAAGGTGGTAAGTGAACTATGATGCATGGCCATATGAATATCGTCTGTTACCTTCAGGAGTGCCGTAATACAGCTATATCCAGGGTGGAATCCGGAGTGACATGTGGGTAGCAACGAATAAATGTTCAAATATTTTCATATCTGTTCATTAATATTTTTTTCCTAGAAGTTTGGCCGAACAAAAAAGAATACTTATAGGTCTCAGATCTGAAAAATGCTCAGGAGTCGTTTTTTTTTCATAACGACGAGTTGTTTGAAACTGGACGTTTGTCATTGTTCATAGAATTCTTTCCAGGTGTTTCAGACTTTCAAAGGCGACTGAAATCCTGATATCATGTACCGGTCTCAACAATTTCATTTATTCTATGACCGTTCTCAAAAGCATATTGAGTGACTTTAGGCTCCTCTGAACTACGAAACCAATATGTGATATATGTTTCTTGAAACACATTGTTATAGTCCGCTCAGTTTGACCAACATAGTTTTTGTTGAAATCTTCACAGCTCATCCCGCAAATCCATCATTTTCGGTCATCCGTCATTTGATAAAACTCTTTTGATAATGACTTTACTACAGGTAACGGTTTGTCTAGATCAGTGATTTCCAAAGTGGTCCAGATAGACCCATAAGAGTCCACGAGAGACTCGACGGGGGTCTACGTTGGCGTGACCAAAATATGGGGGTTCACAATTCGTTAGCGAAAGTCCACGAAAATGTATCTGGTTTCGATAGTGAAGAACTAAAATATTGGCTCGACTTCAACTATCAATATATACAGATAATAGTTCAAGAAGGTCCGCGACTGTTACATGTAAAAAATTGCAAATCCAATATTCAGTTCCGCACCGAATGGTGAGTGTTTTGAATGAAATAAGTGAGAATAATAATGACAATAATAATAATAATATGATGCCTAGTATCAGCACAAACTTCGACAGATCTGGTCATCGGATCTGTCGGGGAAGAACAAAGTTGCTGCAACAAATATACTTGCCGTTCCAATCGTTTGGAGTAGTGAAGTGGACTAAGGAGGAGGTGTATCAACTCGATGCAAAGACCCGAAAAATTATGCATCTCTATAGGAGTTTGTATCCCAAATCATCCGTTCCACAGTTGTACTTCCCCGACAACAGGGAGGCCGTGGACTTTTGAGTTTGGAGTGTCTACATGACAGAATGGTACTGTGGATCCGAACTCCTGAGTTCGGATCCCCTTCTCTGCATGGTCCGTGACCATGAGGGAGCAGGAATTGGAGCATTTCTCTTTAGGGCAGCTGCCCGAGCAGCTGATTAAGTCGGTTTAGTATTTGACACTGAACGAAGTGACTATAACTCTATCACCGAGTTGGAACCCGTTCAGCAAAAAGCTCAGATGAAAGCCACAGAGATCACCTCACAGACGCTTTCCTCAGGTCGAGTGGGCTGAAGTCGGAAACTGAGGGGTTCATCATGGCTTGCCAGGATGGTGTCTTCAACACCTTAATCTCTCGCAGTCGCGTGATGGGTATAGAGGTTTCTGACACAAGGTGCAGGGCCTGCCGCGAGGCGCCCGAGACCCTGATGCACTTACTATCAGCATGTCCAGCATATGCGGTCTCGACCTATATACATCGACATAACGAGGCCCTCAGAGAGCTATATTACCATCTACAGCACTCTTACAGTATTGACGAGACACCGGTGTAGCCTTAAGCTCCGGGAGATATTGAATCCGTTGTGGGGAACGAGAAGTGCCGAAATTATTGGAACTATTCGTTCACAACCCTCAGGCTCATACAAGCTAATGAGCCTGATATAGTCCTTCATGACCACCAGAACAAGACGATATTTGTCATGGAGTTTTCAGCTCCTGGCGAGACGAATATCGTCCGAAAAAAGAAGGAAAAACGTATAAAATATCGAAACTTTCCTCTTCGAACTCTGCAGACTCTATCCAGACCACTCAAGATGGTTGTTCTGATTATTTGAGTCCTTGGTGGAATGATGCTCTCTCTACTCTTGAATCTTAAAATTATACCGACTTGCCGCACTAAGCCAGAAATCTTAACCGGACAGATGCAGAAGCGAGAATCATGTGCCCTGAGCGCTTACTCAGGGCACATGATTCTCGGACCCAATTATCACTTACCCCACGGTGTGGGGAGTGATTGTTGGTCGATAATACTGGCGCGCTCCCCCGAATGTATCTGGGTTTCGGGGGATAGGGCCTGACCAGCGCAAACTACGGTTTTGAATATAATGCCTTCATTCATCATATTCAATAGTTTACAAATGCATGATGAATGGGCGTTCAGCTGGGGGTTCAGCTATTGAAGCTGCTTTTAAAGCCAACCTTGAACGTACACACTTAATCTGTAAGATCACATTGGATAATAAAAAGTCTGTGTTCGATCCCCAGGTCTCTCGATTATCGTCGGGGGCTGTGAAGGAATCCGGGTCCACTTCGCCTGCCTGACTGGAACTCGTCGAGAGGACGAAGGATTCCCGCTCGTCCTCTTCGAGCTGCACGTGAAGGTCCTCTGGAATGAGAATGGGTTTGAAGGGAAAATTGAGGCTCACTTTGGTTAAAAGCATTAAAAGGCGTGATTGAGGCATTTTTGACGATTTTGTTTTTGGACATTCCATCATTTTCGAAAATTATCGAAAATTACCGTCGAAAACAGTTGTTGAAAAATGGCCGAAGTTTGAAACATTGGAAAATATTCAATAATGTCTCCTTTTTTATCTACTGTTTGAAAACTGACTAATTGTTTCACGAAGTCAGTAATATGTACTTATGAATGTATGCAAAACTGCTAGCGTTAAAGTTGGTCTCTTTTACAAATATCAAGCAATTAACATATTCAAAAAACACTTTATTGTGAGATTTTCACTAAACATACCAGCATAAAGTTGCTGCATTCAAAAGTATGCTTCACATACTATAAAATGTTACACTGTCTGAGAGTAATCTCCAGAGAGAGCTGTGTTTTATCAAACAAATCGCTGTCAACAACGGTCATGAGGTAGATATTATAGACTCCATTCTTTCCAAAAAACTACAAAAGCAAGCCAGCAAGCCATTCACTAGGTCTACCCAAACAACCAAAAATATTTCCCGTTTCTTGAAGAAAAAACGCGTAAACGTAGCTTACAGAACGATTAAAATTTATTGAATACAATGAAGACGAAACTTCGGTGTCGGATAGATCAGGAGTATATAAGCTGACTTGTGGCTCTTGCCCAAAACTATATATTGGCCAAACAGGGAGAACATTTTACCAAAGAATTCAAGAGTATAGAAGTGGTTTTGTAAATAGAAACACCACTTCCACATTTGCCAACCATCTTTAAGCAGAAGAACATGAATTCAATAGTAAATACGACCTGTTACATTTGAAAGAAAAAAGTTTGAAGCTTAATCTTCTAGAATGTTTAGAAATCAATAGGTTCAAAAATTCATGAATTTACTGCGTGATCAATTTTTTTTGGTACCTTGGGAACTGTCTGACTTGTCCATTTAGTCCAAGTCTCCAAAAAACACTGCAGGCTTATTGCATTTTTTCTCCCATCTTCTCATGGCACCCATTCCATCAGTCTCGTTCCCTGTACTAGTTTGTACAGAAACATGTTGGATGTTCGTCATATTCTTCTGGAGGTAATTTCGTACGTCCATATATTGCCTCCCTCCTACGTCCATATATTGCCTGCCTCCAGTGACTCAGTGCATAAGATGTGTAGAGCTGTTTCTATCCCTTCGTTGCATAATCTGCAGCTGAGGTCTCCGTTGTACAGCCCCATTTTATTCAGGTGTCCTGTAAGCGGACAATGACCGGTTAGTAGCCCTTCAATTATTCTGAGCCAATCTCTACTATACTGAAGTAGTTCTTCGGTTCTTTTCTCGGACGGTTCCCTAATGAAGGTTCTACTGTGTTTGTTGCCAGGTACTTCTGTCCAGTACTCTGTGTGCTTCTTATTGGTCCATATCCTAATCTGGTTTCGTACCAATGATTTTGGTACCCCCAGAGCTGGTTCAGGACCTATATATGAAGTTGATGATCCGCGTCTAGCGCATTCATCAGCTTTATCATTACCTGTGATTCCTGAATGCCCTGGCACCCAGTACAAAGTTAATTTGTTTGTGTTTGCAAGTTCATTCAGTTCTTCATGGCATTCCCAGACCAGTTTTGATGTCACCTTCGGGTTTGTCAGAGCCCCTGGTGCGCTCTTGAACTAGGACACTATCTATTATTGAACGCGTCTATTTTTGCCCGCTTTTCCTTTTTTTGAAAATTCAACTTTTATAAAAAAAATTAAGGGGCCTTCACCCTTTCGTGGCCCCAGGGACTCTATACTTCCAAATCCGGACCTGGTTATAGGTTAGGTTAGTTTTTGATACTGAGATTTTCGAAAATTGACAGTCTTAAGATGAAAACGTGGAACTCAACTGTTGATGAGAATCGCAAGAATCATAAAATGAGTATCCAACAACATAGGTAGGAAACGATGAAGTTTGGATATCAATGAGATCTGGTAAATTCCTGCCGTAAAACGACTACTTCCCCGGCTAATACCACGCTGGATATTAAATTATTGCCTTCAGACATTTATGAAACATACCTCACAGAGGTCATTCTTGCAGTTATTTCTTGTTTATTCAGCAGCATGACCATACCAAAATCAATCGACAAGATCATCCACGGACCGGTTTCGAAGTATTACCACTTACCAGTGCAGCAAAGATTCGACTGTGATTATAAAAGCTCTGTCTGAGAGGAATATTTGTTAACTAGTAGCTCCATCTCGTGAACAAAACCCTGAAAGCGGGTAAGGAACGTCCCATGTACCAATATTCTAACAAGAATCAAAATAAGCTTCAAGACTGTATCGAGAAGGGATAACGTATCAGAAAATGAATATTTCGGGATGTAATTTCGAAACATTCATCTCTCTCAAAGTGCCAGTAGGTTCTGGTGAATGCCTCCAAAAAAACTACTTTCCAGGCTTATACCATGATGTACCTTGAACTATATCCTATACATAATTCTGCAAGATATCTCAAGTATAGATCTGCAAGCATATATTCAACCAGATGTATTTCTAAAGGTTTCTTGGCCTCAACAAGAATGTACATTCACTTCGAAAAATCAGTCATAGGCAGGCTACATTCAACATGTAAGTAATATAGGGAATAACACAGAACAAATCATATTTACCACTTACTTTTCCTCAGAGTGCACGTGATTATCAAATTCGAAGTAGAGTTGAGAAGTTTTGGATTGCTTTTTCCTGAAAAGAAAAA